TAAATTTTTAACTTCAGATAACTTTAACCTAAAGAGTATTTTTTTTAACTGTTACAGTGATAGACTTACTCAATTTTAAATTTAAAATGTTTAGAAAAACGTCACGACGCGTTAATAAATTATTTTTGCAAATATAACAATCCCCTCAGAACTACAAAATAACCCAAAATGAAAATTATACCCACTTAGAAACTCCAATGTGACCTACCGCAATAAAAATCGTTGTCGTGACGTCAGCACTAATATGACATTTTGAAACTTGTATAGGAACTTTTATGTTTATTATTTATTTGTCAATCCGAATATAAAAATACGAAATGTATGGAAGCCTGACTAACCTTGGATAGAGCGACCATATATTAAGCAACATCGGCCTAGGCTTAAAACTTACTCAAAATACCAGATTTATTATTTAGTCATTATTGTACTTAAATCACCTGTTAAGTAACTCCACATTTCGTGTAAATTGATTCAAAATCGTTTTGTTGCATATTGTTAATTAATATTATTAGCATCAGTTCTGCTTAGTTACGCCACTGAGAAACAGCGCTGCTGATTTCCTCGAGACGTAAAAGTCTACCGAGGTTGACGGATGTGATTGGGAGTGACTGACAGCCGTCAGTGAGTCTGTGGACGTTGGTCCAGGCTTTGGATCTCTCTCATGTGCATATAAGGGTTCGGCGTAAAGCGGTAGTTACACATCACACTTTTACTTTATTTTCTGTCTTTATCTTTTCAGCGGTTTATTTATAGCGGTTTGTTAAAAGCACGAATACCTGCATAGAGGAATATCACACGTTATTATGTAAATTACGGTACATTGCAGTAGTTATATTCCACAAACAGAAAGAACGAAAAGTACTACAGTACTTTCTGACAGTAGTAAAATATCTAGTAGTTTGATTGTCAAATTGACAATTCTCACGTTTTCATGCCAATTTGACATTTACAATGACATTTGTTATTATTGACTGAGATCAATAATGGATCTATTATTAACCTCGTTTAAACAAATGTTTGAGAAAGCTATTTCTCAAGTTAAAAATAAGTCGATAATGTTATGTCCTAAGGCTGGTAGTGGAAAAAATTTATATTTAACTTGCCTATTTAAACAAAATCCAAATTGCCTTTTTGTTCCAGGTATGTTAACTAGTAAGCACATGACCATGGGAAAGGTAAGTTATGAGGTGTGTATTATTTTATGAAATAAGTTAAAAAAATATACACAGGGTGATTCACTTAATTTTCGCACGCTACTTGTCTCAGTTATTTGTTGAGTTAAAGTGGCGTTTCAAGAACGATATTGTAAAAGATTTTATGATTATTATGAAACCATTAAATAGCACTAAAGTTGTTTATTTGCTTGCTTCTATTTTAAGAATGTGTTATCATTTTTAAGTATCTTGTTTCAATTTCACATTCACTTATTGTAGTCAATTTAAGTTGCGGTTTGACGGCAAAAAAGAAAACGATGTGAGCAGGAATGTGGCGAAGCTAGCGAAATGCAGTCTGGCGAAGCGCAGGTAAAATAATGCAGATTGGGGTGAGGAAGAGCACAGTAGCGTAGAACAGTGCCGTATCGCGAAGAAATACAGAAGGACGCAGGAATATTTCCAGTGCTCGGTGAATCGTAGACACACGACGTTAATGTGATGTCAGGACGGCCATCTTTGTTGCGTTTATTTTGTTTATTATAAAGACAATTTATTAGTGTCCACATACATATCACGACGTTAAATATAATATTGAGATAATTTATGTGACTAAAAAAAACAGGTTTTACGTTTAACGTGACCTTTTTTAAGTTAGGTTCACTGTGACATGAAAATTGGTTTATTTTTATTGAAAAAGCATAGGAGTGATATGTTTATGTAGGTATAGTATTTAGTGTATTTCTAAAAATAATTAGTTTTAGATAGTTAAAATGACTAGGCGCTGGGCACCATTTTGTAAATATAATGTTAGAAAATGGTGTCGTTTGTAGTTGTCAGTTGGCATTTTCCAAAAAAGGTAATAAAAGTATTCGCCCTGAAAAATATAAATTTTTAACTTCAATAACTTTAACCTAAAGAGTATTTTTTTAACTGTTACAGTGATAGACTTACTCAATTTTAAATTTAAAATGTTAGAAAAACGTCACAACGCGTTATTAATAAATTATTTTTGCAAATATAATAATCCCCTCAGAACTACAAAATTAACCAAAAATGAAAATTATACCCACTTAGAAACTCCAATGTGACCTACCGCAATAAAAATCGTTGTCGTGACGTCAGCACTAATATGACATTTTGAAACTTGTATAGGAACTTTTATGTTTATTATTTATTTGTCAATCCGAATATAAAAATACGAAATGTATGGAAGCCTGACTAACCTTGGATAGAGCGACCATATATTAAGCAACATCGGCCTAGGCTTAAAACTTACTCAAAATACCAGATTTATTATTTAGTCATTATTGTACTTAAATCACCTGTTAAGTAACTCCACATTTCAGGTAAATTGATTCAAAATCGTTTTGTTGCATATTGTTAATTAATATTATTAGCATCAGTTCTGCTTGGGTTACGCCACTGAGAAACAGCGCTGCTGATTTCCTCGAGACGTAAAGTCTACTGAGGCTGACGGATGTGATTGTGGGAGTGACTGACAGCCGTCAGTGAGTCTGTGGACGCTGGTCCGTGGCTTTGGATCTCTCCATGTGCATATAAGGGTTCGGCGCAAAGCGGTAGTTACACATCACACTTTTACTTTATTTTCTGTCTTTATCTTTTCAGCGGTTTATTTATAGCGGCTTGTTAAAGCACGAATACTCCGCATAGAGGAATATCACACGTTATTTTGTAAATTACGGTACATTGCAGTAGTTATATTCCACAAACAGAAAGAACGAAAGGTACTACAGTACTTTCTACAGTAGTAAAATTTCTAGTAGTTTGATTGTCAAATTGACAATTCTCACGTTTTCATGCCAATTTGATATTTACAATGACATTTTGTTTTTATTGACTGAGATCAATAATGGATCTATTATTAACCTCGTTTAAACAAATGTTTGAGAAAAGCTATTTCCTGTCTTAAAAATAAGTCGATAATGTTATGTCCTAAGGCTGGTAGTGGAAAAATTTATATTTAACTTGCTCATTTAAATCAAAATCCAAATTGCTCTTTCTTGTTCCAGGTATGTTAAATAGTAAGCACATGACCATGGGAAAGGTAGCAGTTTATGAGGTGTGTATTATTTTATGAAATAAGTTAAAAAAAATATACACAGGGTGATTCACTTAATTTTCGCACGCTACTTGTCTCAGTTATTTGTTGAGTTAAAGTGGCGTTTCAAGAACGATATTGAAAAGATTTAAGAGGGTGATTATTATAAAGATTTCTAGAATATACTGGGTGCAATTCATTAAGAATGGAAACACCTCTGTAAAAAGTGCATTTATTATCCGATTTGGTTCGTTTTTTTTTTAAATGTAGAGAATTTAAAACTCTATTTTGGTCTCACAATGTGAAACTTCCATTGCCTATAATCAAGGCTTACTTTGTTTTTTTCGATGTGAAAATTGGCAAAAAACTTGTTTAGCGATTTTTTTATCTACAATCTGACCACACCACTGGATTCAGCACCCCTTAAAACGGGTTTGTACCGAATTTCATAAAAGAATATTTAGTTATTAACGGTAAATTCATATTCATGATTTTATTATTTTACCTTGAAAAACTCCTGTAAAAATTTGCATTTATTATCCGATTTTAATAAACAAAGCTCAAAGATAGAGAATTTTGTACTCTATTTACGGCACTGCATTTGGTCAATCAAAATGCTGAACACCAAATTCATAAAAAAATTATAATTAAAAAAATTTAGTCCGTGTCAAACAAGTTTATTTTTTTTATGAAATTTGGTGTGCAGCTATTTTGATTGACCAAATCCAGTGTCGTAAATAGTGTACAAAATTTCTATCTTTTGAGCTTTTGTTTATTAAAATCGGATATTAAATGCAATTTTTACAGAGTGTTTCAAGGTAAAATAATAAAATCATGAGTATAAATTTACCGTTAATAACAAATATTCTTTTATGAAATTTGCATATAACCGTTTTAAGGGGTGCTGAATCCAGTGGTGTGGTCAGATTTTTAGATAAAAAAATCGCTAAACAGTTTTTTCCAATTTTCACATCAAAAAAAAAAACAATGTAGGTCTTAATTATAGGCAATGGAGTTTTACATTGTGAGCCAAAATAGAATTTTAAATTTTCCATCTTTTAAAAAAACCCGAACCAAATCGGATAATAAATGCACTTTTTACAGAGGTGTTTCCATTCTTTATGGGTAACCCTGTACATAATTTGGCATAAAAAAATCGCTGTTTCCTGTAAAATCACGTTTTCGGACTTACTTGATTTGCGAATTAGATCGACTGTTGAAAATGTAAAAAAATCTTTAATAAGGATTTTTAATTTTTGAATAGATAAAAAATATATTTGTATATAAATTTTAAACGATCAGTGCTACGTTAAATTAACTCGAATATTGTTTAAGATTATGTTTGCGAAAATATCGATTTTTGTGATATCTTCAACGTCCTTTATCTAGGAATATAAGGTTTTCCGGATACATGTTTTTTCATTAAAATATCGCAAAGAATTACACCTTAAATTTGCATACCGTAATTAGGAAACACTCTGGCAACAATACGCCTTTTGACAATATTTTAGGAGAATAATGGAGCGTACTTAGTTTCCTCCGTAGCCAAAAAATACAATACCCACCATTACGAATCACGCTGTGTAGATAAATTCATATACTTAGCGGTAAAACTATTTAAGTAAAAATTTTTTAGAAAATATTTTTGGGTGAACGAAAAAAATGCCTATCGTGTAAATGGTATACAATGCAAAACTAACGGGTGTAGATCATACAAACGAAAGCGAAATATATAATTGATAATTATTGCAGCATCCAAAAATAAAGAAATTCCACAAAAAAACGTTTGTCAGGTGGGGTTCGATCCCACGCTTCCTTTCGAGAACCAGAGCTTAAATTCGGCGCCTTAGACCGCTCGGCCAACCTGACTACGCTCTTTCAATTTCGGAAACGTGTACTTGGCAATAGGGATTTCAGATTCATTGATACATTTTTTTGCATTACATAAATTACTTTTTAAATTACATTACAATAATAACTCGATCAATCTAAATAGAAAAAAATTAAATTAAAATACATATTTTTAACGACTACAAATAAATTTGATGTTTCTACGATCTTTGATTTTAACACCTTAGACTCCTTAGAGGTTAGAATAGTGGATATTATGTTGAATTTTGTTGAGAACTCTGGGATTAGATGTGACAATAGCTTATGGTATGTTGTGACACTGTCACAACCCCGTACGAAGACAACTATTCGGACTGACACTGCAAATAAGAATGAGCTGGGTCCCTCAGGTATGTATTCTTTATTTTACAGCTTTCTTTTTTTTGCATATAAACATTTTTGGCCCCCCACACTTACCTTTTTTGGTTTTTTTAGAATTTATTTTTTTCTCTTTTTTTTTTTTATTTTGAACGGAAATACGCCCCCCCCCCCTTGTTTCTTTGGTTTTGGGGAAAACTCCCTTCCTGTTCTTTTTGCCGTGGGACGTAACTTCTGTTAGATATATTTTAATTGTGGACTGTATATTTTATTGTAATTAAAATTCGGAAATGGCAAAACTGGACTTACCAATATCCGACTTCATAAGGACTGGTTACTACCAAGTTTAAATAGATGAGCCACTACCAAGTTCAATGGATGATTTTGGATGACTACTTTCAAACGCCGGCAAACTGCCGCTCTTCGCGACGTCGCGCGCAAGTCGCAAGTACTGCCATTTTAACGCGGGTAAAATTCAAATTAACAAAACAAAAAATAATAATATTGCTACCTTTTTCCCGCAAATATAAAAGGATTGCATGATTCCTTAACAAACCGCCCACTAAATACTCCCCAGAGTATTTAAAAAAAAATAAAATAAAATTTACTCACAACAGATAGATAACACAAAATACATAATCGTTACCGATGTTTATTAATCCTGACCGGGTAATGGACACAATTTGGTAACTGGCCTTTGAATTAAACCCTGTGTCGTTTTAACGGTAACTACTCTACATATACCATCTTTACCATAATGTAACTCTACAATTCTACCTAGTCTCCACCGTAATGGAGGTGTAAGTTCATTTTTTATTATGACTAATGTGCCGACATTTAAAGAATTGCGCAAACCATCGGTCCATTTAAAACGCTGTGTTAGGGTATGTAAATATTCATCTTTCCATCTTTTCCAAAAATCTTGCATTAACCTAATTAACATTTGCCATCTAGACAAGCTATTCAGTTTTAGATGGGACAAATCAGTATCTGGTAAACATGTCAGGGGTTCCAGAACCAAAAAATGACCAGGCGTTAATGGCGTTAAATCATTAGGGTCTGCGCTGACAGCTGATATAGGGCGAGAGTTTAACATGCTCTCAATTTGAATTATTACGGTATTGAGCTCCTCATAAGTTAATACTTGTTCACCAACGACTCTAATAAGGTGAGTCTTTACAGATTTAATACCAGCTTCGAATAAACCACCAAAGTTGCTTGCTGTGGGGGGGGATTTAATTTCCATATAATTTTTTCAGATTTACATGCGGACTGGACTATGTCTTCGATATATTTTTTACTAGCAACAAAATTTGTACCACGATCACTGAAAATCATGGAAACTCTACCACGCCTGGCGAATAAACGTCGTAATGCGGCAAGAAACGATTCAGCAGAGAGATCTGATGTTAATTCCAAATGAAGAGCTCGTGTAACACAGCACACAAACAAACATAGATACGCCTTTAATATTTTACCACCCTCTCGTCGATAAGGGGTAATGTAAAATGGACCTCCCATATCAACTCCCACATGGGAAAAAGCCTTGAGCTGGTTTACCCTGAAGGAGGGTAGATCACCCATTTTAGGAGGTGAAATCGGAGAAGGGTTTACTCTGAAACATCGTAAGCATTTTGAGAGAACGGTTCGAATAGCTCGTTTTGGACTAAGAATCCAAAAGTTTTGGAGTAACAAAAATGGGTGGTTTGCAAACCTGGATGAAAGTTATCCCTGTGTACTTCCTCAACTAGAAGCTCTGTCAGTCTACTCTGACGTGGCAACAATATGGGATGCTTTGTGGGATAATCTAAACTGGAATGCCTTAAGCGTCCACCAACTCTAATTACACCTGAGTCGTCTAAGAAAGGATTTAGACGCCTTAGCGGTTTAATCAGAGGACGACTTCTCTTGAGATTCAAAATCTCTTGAGAGAAAAACTCCTTTTGTGTAACTTTAGCTAAAGTTATTACAGCATTATGCATTTCAACGGATGTGATATAATCCGAATCAGCACGCTGCTTCCTGCATGAGGCTATAAACCTCAAACAATAAGATAAAATTCTTTTTATTTTTGACAAAGAAGACCATTTATTTAATAGATCGGAAATTGAATCGGTGTCCGTCAAAGAAGTAAGAACAAATGGTTTAATTTCTTCAGGACATTCAGGAGACTCGTATTCATCGAAAAAATCAATATTAATGGAAGAATAAAAAAAATCCGGCCCCGCCCACCATTGGGAATGATTAACCAACTGCGAGGGGAAAATGCCCCTAGACGCGCAGTCTGCAGGATTATTTAAAGAGGGAATATAATGCCAAAAGGCGGGGCATATTTTTTCTTGTATTTGAGCTACCCTATTTGCGACAAATTGTTTCCACCGATGGGGCGAAGACTTGACCCAAGACAGAACTACTTTTGAATCACACCAGGCAAATATTTTATCAAAATGTACCTTGGAAGAATAAGTATCTAAAACAGCGGCGACAAGATTGGCTAGTAGAACTGCGCCACATAGCTCTAAACGAGGTATAGATATCCTTTTCAACGGTGCGACTCTTGATTTAGCACAAATCAACGAGACCTTTATTTCCCCATCTGAATTAATTACTCTGAGATAAATAACTGCTGCAAAACCTCTCTCGCTTGCGTCACAAAATGAATGCAATTCTGCAGATGATATATTTGTCGACATAATCCTCCTGGGGATCTGGAGCCCCTTCAACTGATTGAGTTCAAAATGGAATTTCAACCACTTGTTATAGACATCAGCAGGAACAGACTGGTCCCAGTCTATACCAAGTATCCACAAGCATTGTATTAAATACTTTGCAAAAAAAATAATAGGGGACAAGAAACCAAGGGGATCGAATATTCTAGCAATCTCTGATAGAATAGCTCGCTTTGTACAAGCATTAGGTTTTGGATCACAATAATAAGAGAAAACGTCTAAGGAAGGTAACCATTTTAATCCTAATATTTTAATAATAGCATCACCTGAATCAAATGATAATTCTTGTTGACAATCTTCAGAATCGACTGCTCGAAGAAGTGCAGGGTGATTCGAGGCCCACTTGCGTAGTACAAAACCCCCTTTTGAAAGTAAACTTATAAGTTCAGATTGAGTCTCTAGCGCTACTTGTATGTCTGCTGTGCCAGAACAAATGTCGTCCACGTATGACGCCTCTAATAATGTTTCCGAAGCCCGAGGATAAGGTAAACCTTCATCTTTTACCAGTTGCTTAATGGTACGTAAAGCGAGGTATGGAGATGAAACTATTCCAAATGAAACAGTGTTAAGCATGAATTCTTGTAATGGCTGTGATGGTGACCATCTCCATATAATTTTCTGGTACCTTTTATGACTGTCCTGTATTAGGATCTGTCGGTACATTTGCTTCATGTCAGCTGTGAAAACTATTGCATGAAGCCTGAACATCAATAAAAGCGAGAAAATATCTTTTTGTAATTTAGGCCCGACCAATAATGTGTCATTTAGGCTAACACCATTACTGTCTTTGGCGCTGGCATCTAAAACAACACGCAACTGGGTGGTTTTAGAGTCAGGCTTTAGGACACAGTGATGTGGAATAAAATAGTCACTCTCTGAAAACTGTTGTGACATAACTTTAGTCATATGACCACTATCTAGATAATCTTTCATAAAATTTGAATATTGTAGATAGAGGTCTGGATTCTAAGGAGCCTATTTTCTAGTGACAGAAAACGGCGAGTTGACATTTCTTTCGTATTATGAAAAAAGGGCTCTAAAACCTCGGAATGGTAGGGCCACAATGTACCTACCTGAGGCATTTCTAGAGACAGTATCTTGGTATATTTTTTCGCATAGTGAATCTTCCACTGAAATAGACGGCTTATTTGGTACCTGTTCAATTTCCCAAAAACTTTTTAAGATTTCATCTAACGGAGTAAATGTGGAAGTAAAAAATGAATTTATAGGATTAGGATTATGGATAGCAATCTTACCCATAACAATCCATCCAAAAACAGTATTTATTGCAATAGGTTCATCAGGAGTACTGCCTGCAATACGACCATTTTGCAAAATCAAAGAAAAAACATCTGCACCTAGTAAAATATCCACAGGTCCAGGTTTATTAAAAGTACCATCAGCTAACTTTAAATTCGAAATATGGGGAAAATCACTAAGAGAGAAAGCGCGAGCAGGAGATTTGCACATATATTCGGCAAACAAATTAAATCCACTTCAAAAACAGGAGAAATTGATCCAATTGGGCAGATAGTACAAGTCGATACACCTGATGCCTTTGACGACATCTGACTAAGTCCATAAATTGAAGTCGAAATTGACTTCCTACACAAGCCTAACCGAGCCAAACATTTTTCTGTTATAAAACTTGATTGATTTGGCACTATCTAATAATGTGCGTACTGATTGATAGGCCCCACGACAATCAAGCACTGCAACAGTGGCAGTGGACAAAAGGACCGTGGTTGATTTCGATAAACTGGTATATACATTAACTTGAGAAGATGTAGGAACATCTATTTCTGCAGAAACTGCCGAATTCGCATTATTGTTATGTTGACTATTTACATAGTCATGCGCAATAACCTTCGGGTTTGCGAAATGTAGAAGTGTACTATGTTTTCGATTACATGTGGCACAAAACTGCTTCGA